GAACAGGCTCCCTTCATCGGGGTTTCAGGGCTTTTCAAAGAACCCTCGGTGTACCTTTGCCATGGGTGCGACACCGTAAGCCTTAAACCAAACAGAGTTTCGGAAACAAGCCCGAGACCCTAAACCCTAAACCCTGAGCCCCAGATCGTGCTGGACTTCCCTTTCCTTCACGTCCTAAACCGCGCGGAGCGGGTCCCACCTCGCACGGCTGCCCCTGCCATCGCCGCCAGAGCAAAGCCCTGGACAGCCACAGCATGGGGGTTTCTGAAAATAGGGGACCCTAATTTAGTACCCTAAATAATAGGATCCTTAATATAAGGACCCCAAAATAAGGTACCCCTAATTATCGGAAACCCCCACACACAAAAAGAAGAAGAAGAAACAGACAAAGAAGAAGAAGAAGCAGCAGCGGCGGCGGCAGCAGCAGCAAATTAGTTCTTGCTTCTGATTCTGCCATCAGGACTATCTGTTGTTCTGCTACAGTCGTCGTAGCATACTAGTTAAGTAACAGTGTGCAGCTGAAGCAGCGGTGGAAAGTGGTAGGGATGACAAACAAGATCACCCACACCGCAAATCACAAGCTTGGTGCTGCAGGAATCCGTGTGGACGAACAAAAAACCTTAACTTAAAGCTAAGAACTCTGAAACTCGAGCTCCTCTGTCTCGCCAATTACTAGCTTCGTTTCTACTGCCCGTAGATGACACGGATCCATGCACGCCTCTTAGGCTGCAACACTTGCTGTTTGGGCCGGCTTCTTCAGTGGCCACAACGCAGACTCGAATCATGAAACCCCATCTCAGAACCCCTGCATCAACACCCGACCACTCCTAAGCCAATAACCACAAACCCGAATCCGAAAACCTGAGCCCAAATCGCACAAACTCCGAACCGGAAAAAGCATGCCCTTCCAGTAACCTCACGGTGGCGCAGGGTGGCCCATGCCCGCACTGCGTTTGACACCTTGGCGTTCTCGGGAAATCCACTTTATGGTTCTGGTTGCCCCCCTTTGAATCACAGTTTATGTTCGTTCGTTGCGACATACCTCAAAAAGCTCCGGGGAGCTAGTATTCAAGGGTCTTGAGAACTTACTTGGAGCTTGTTGCTTGGGCATGTTCCGGCGTCTGCAGGCTGTCGGGCTGCCGAACAAGGCCGCATGCAGTCAAGAACAGGGGAGATTCAGAATGCCGGGCCTACCCAGGGCAGAGAAAGAGCCTTTCCGACAGTACCCAAAAATAGCCCTACCAAAAGAACCCAGCCCAAAGAACCCAGCCCGTTTCAGAATTCACGCACTGCACAATGAGATGTCCGAAAGGATTTAAACTCGTGCCTGGGGAAGTGGCATTCTACGGACCCAGGTCGTCTATCGCAGCCACGACCGAGGTGGAGATGGCATCTCGGCACGGAGGAATTGCGCAAGGGCAGGCGCAAGGCTAGCAGGGGATGCAGAAGATGGGGCCATCTTCGAGCTTTGAGATCCGCTGAACCTGAGAAGAGCTACGGGGATTTAGGCCTTCACGTTGTGGGCCTCAACGCGATGGGATTTGGCCGCTTCAGGCCATACGTGACCTGATACTATACAGCCAAATAGTAGGATCCCAAGTACACAGACCCCGAAATCGAACCCCTGGGTCTAAGAAGTTCCATTAACACATTCCAGAGCCCGTGTCCGCAGGGTCTGCTGCCGGTTGCCGTAGGATCTGATGCGTGCGTTAACGGCTGAAACTCGAGATTCCAATCTGTTTTCTTTGCACTCAGTTGATGAAGTCACTGCGCTCCACGAATCGTTGAAGCTGCAGAGGATGAAACCCAAGCTGCAGCCCTCCAAACCCTAACATGGTTCCGATCTCGCTACTCCCACACTCTAGGCACTCTAGGCAACGACGCCGCAGACCAAAAGTGTGAACGCTTTTGCAGCAGGGCTTGGGAACTGGGCCGGGCCGGGAAAGTGTGAACCGTTTTTGCCACTTAAACCCTGAACCGCAAAGCACTAAAGCTTGGGAGGAGCCCTAAGCCCCAAGCCCTAAAGCTTCACAGTATCAACCCTCGACTCCTTCTTTGCAGAACCCCCCCTCCCACAAAGCCCCTGTCTTGGTCCGCGCGCCTGGCAACTCCTGGTTCCGGGCCTGCGCCGGGTTTCTGCCAGGGGGGTCTCGGGCTTAGATTAGGGACTGAGGGTTTAGGGTATAAGGCTCTTTCCCTCTCGCATTGCTGAAGTCTAAAGGTTTAGGGTTTAAGGTTAAGGTATTTGGGAAGTAGGGTTCGCGGCATTAGGTCATTGGGCTGGCTGGGGGAGCTTATTTAACACTCGCACTCGACCAGTTCAGGCGAGGTTTAGGGCAACTTGCTTTTTCGGGGTACCAAACATTTCGGGTATTGGTCGTTCGGGTACTCAGGATTTAGGATAGTGTCTTCGGGTGTTAAGGTACAAAGTAGGTACGAGGGTTTCGGCCGAGAGCTTGTTTTGCTACCCGCCTAGGTGACGCAAGTCGCACTGCAGAGACCCGTAGTGAATCATGTACGGTTCTTCAAAATTGGAATAGGGTTGTGTGTCGTATCATGGTACACTTATGTAGGGACCATATCACAGAATATTGTTACTCATTGGGAACCCGACGACCCCCTCTGCGATTCCCCCGATTCAGACGGTGGGGCTCAGGGTGTGGGGCTGAGGGGGGGGGATCAAACTCCAAGTGTGAGGTCTCGAGTGCGGGCCTGGGCAGATAGGACTTCTGAGAGGGTGCGCAGGATCTTGGAGTCTGTGGTACAGGACCCTTTTGTATCGCACGAAATCCAAGGAGCCAAACTTGCGTTCACCTGTCAAGCGTGAAAACCTTCTTCAGTCCTAAGCCCTGAGGCTTCTAAGAAATCTGACCGGAGACGATTAACCCCCTGCAACCCCATGACCTTAGTGTAGACCCTCCACCTCCAGCTTCGCCCAGCACCATGCCGTGATGGCCGAGTCCTGAACTCTAGAGCCTGCCCCCAACCTTCAGCCTTTTGCACGCTCGCCCGAGCCTGAACTCGGAACCCCTCAAACCCTGAACCCTAAAACCGAAAGGTCTGTGAGGACGTCGGCGTTGAAATTCAGGATGCGGACCTTGCACCCTTCGGCTTAGGTTCATGGTTGGGGGTGTTGCGTTTCGAGTTCCCTGGGTGCGGGGTGTAGGGCCCAGTGTTCAGCCTTCATGGTCTAGCCTTTCAGAATTTGGGCTAAGGCTAAAGCTTGGATGTTGAGTTCGGGCCGAGTTTAGGGCTTCGGGTTCGGGGTCAGGGGATCGTGGGTAAGCCCTGCCGAAAAGAAACAATGTTGAGACGGCTTCTGGCACTCAAGTTGGGCAGCTCTCATGGGGCTGCTTACGATGAGGGGGTCCACCATAACCCGATCACAAAGCCTCAACTTCAGCCAGCACTGTAAACCCGAGAGCCCACCTCCCTTCAAGTCCCAAAGGACAGTCTATGAGGTCTAGGAGTCAAGGGCTCCAGCAGCCTGCGCATCTCAACGCAGAAAGGCCAGTCCTGCCCTTCGAACTCACTGCAGCGTGCAATGGAAGAGGCCGCGACAGCATCCAACAGAGGCCAGTCGTGCCTCGAAGGGATCAGACTGCCGGGGCTTATCAGAGCTGACACAAACCTAAGGACTAAGGACCCTTGAAAAAGCATATGATCATATGGCTTGTTGAGATTTTGTTATAGAAGTAGCTGACACTGATGGTGGAAATTGCTGAACTTCGAATAACCAAGTTGCACGGTCAGGTCCAAAATCGGACTTCCCTACGCTATCTGAACTGCTATATGGTTGTTGCTGCTGTTGCTTCTGTTGCTGTTGCTGTTTCTGTTTGCTGCTGCTGCTGCTGCCGCCGCTGCTGCTGCTGCTGGCTGTTGATTTTTGGGTGGCGAGGTGTAGAGGGCTTGCATGTCTAACACCCTAAAGCTGACTCTCGGCAAGCGGTGGGACTTGAATTTTCAGGGTTCCGGCTTGCACATGCGCAAACCACCCACCGCGATTTGGCAATAGCAGCAGGGGGAGTATACAGGCGTAGCTCGGTCGAAGACAAGCGAAGATCTACAGCTTATTCCGGCTTATGAGGACTGGGAACTGACGCAGATAAGTTCTGGGCACTGGGCGCTACAGTGTGAAAAGCTACCGGGACTGCAGGCCCACAGTCACTCCACAATGGTCTTTCTAGCCTAACAAGCAGGCAGCTGTTGCATCGCATTGTGGTTTGATTCTTCCCAGAAGCCTGTTTAGGGTGCAATCGGCTTCTCCTTTTTGTAACCATCACGTCGCTACCAGCGCCGTCGCCATGTTCTCGGGCAATCCGTAGATCAGCACCTCGGCTAACCGCCACGAGAACAGGCTGCTGCACAACACGGAGTCGCCCATTCGAGCCCCACGCGAGCAGGAGGACACCTGAGCTGCATACTCGCTCTCCCAACATCAAGGGCTTGGAGTTTGGAGTGTGGGCCCTAAACCCTAAACCCTAAAACCCTTTAAGGCTTGGCTCAGCATTTTCAATTTACAGTATAGGTTTTTCGACTCTCACAGTTACACGAAGCAGCCAAGGCTGCACTGCGACTCGTCCCGCTCTTGGGCCTTTGATTCCGATACTCTGCTGCTATCACAGCAGCCTTATCTGTGTGTTGGTGGGAGGTCGGCGAATCAGTGTTGAAGTGCATTGGTGCATCGGCGGGTTGTCAGTGTCGGTGTATCGGCGGGATATGACCGTCTCAGCACACTGGCAGGATCGGTGAGCACACGAGGCACAGCAACTGATTCCATCTTCACAATGAAGTTCGACAAAAGACATGCTTTACGATGCTGGCAGATACCGCTAATCTTGGGCGCTGTGCCGAGGATGCGTCGTCTGGGTTTAGAAGACATGTGTGATGACCCTGAACAGATCCTTCTTCCAAATATGACGACAGCCACTTCTAGCCATATCTAACTTGGACTCCTGCCATCACTGCATTTTGTTCGCAGCACGACCGCGACAAAGCTCTCACAAGCGGGCGTTTGACCAGTCGCTGAGTTGCAACTCCAAGAACACGCGTCGATGCGTGAAGAAGCTATCGCGGCAGGAGACGTCCGCCTCGAACTTCACAAGCAGACGATGCGGCTTCATCCTCAGCGCAACCCACAACAGAACTCAGAATCCCGCTTTCGAAATGAGATGGAAAGATGCTGCAAAGCGACGAGCTGTCCACGAAGGCCTGGATAGTGCTTGATTTCAAGCTGCCGCCGCATTCCCTGGTGACGTTTAGGGACGGAATTTCACACAAGTCCTTGGCCGATGCATTTTCAGTGTGGAGAGGACCCTCCTCCCCAAAGCCATCGGAATCCTCTTCGATCGTCTTATGTCGTCCCCAAGAAACGCTGCAGTCCTTCCGGGGGACGAAGGTGACATACACCTTGGACAGGAGGTTCGTTGTCTCGAAAACCAGAAGCAAAAACGAAACAAATATTTATGGACAGGCAAGAATTCGGCCCCTGAAACTGAGTCAGGTCACCTTGGATGCTTGTTGCTGTAACGCCCAGGTTGCACGGACATCAATGACGCAGACATTGAACTTCCTCCAGCAAGACTCAGCACTTGATTGTGCCTGCACCTTAGTTGTTCTTGGGACCCTTGCAAACAAATACAACCTTTGCCTCTTGTTAGGATTCTGTATTGCAAAGACTAAGAAATGTTTCCAAGAAAAGCTAAGGCACATCTTGCCCTGAAACTAGGACAGTCACAAATTCCATGGCTCGGTGCTGTCTGATCTGCAGTGACACGGCCACTGGGGCAACACTGGCAAAAGGCTCATCAAGGTCTTCCATGGATCTACAGGCCGCTTGTCCAAAAAGCTGAACATCAGAGTGACCAGAAGAATGAGATTGAGACAATGCCAGGCTATGCTCTTTGAGGAATACCAATGGCAAAGTAAAACTGGAACTAGGTTTCCAGCCATCTTGGCATTCATCCGCCATGGGATCCTGTTCACACACTCTGGTACTCGTCAAGGTGCGGTTCAGCCGCGTGCCATTCTTCAAAGAAAGACTTTTCATATAGCAATCCACATCCTCAGACAAAATGGTCACGTTCATGAGGGTCGCATTTGCCAACGCCGCAGAGTCTGCGACAGTCAGATTCCAACCCTCTCTGTGCACCTCAATACCGTGAGCGAACGCTAGGACAACGCGGAAAATGCTTGCCAGAGTCCTTTTACGTAGGGTGAAGGTAAAGCCATCCGCTGGCTGATACAAGCTGTGAGCGCCCAGCACGTCCACAATCCCAGACTGCAGAGTCAAAGGCACATCGAACCAGAAGTGAGTGTCTTTCGCACTTTCAGGTAGGATATCAGGAGTACTGATCACCAGGCTCGCAGATGACTTGAGCATCGTGTGGCAGTCACTTCGGGCACCGGTAACAATACACAAGCTCCCTGAGATGTTGGCATCGTAATATTGCAAATATCTTTCAGTTCTACTGCGGTGTGTCTGCCCACAGTTTGACCAGCGCGGCTGCAGACCGTACATGCAGCCATGCCCCGTGTACTGCCACATTGTTGCTTGCTCCCACAGACTTATGCCATACTTGCCACACTCCTCGCGAGGAAGCGTCGCATCAAAACGAGTTGAAAACGCGTTGTGGGATCTCCTCTTCGGAAAGCTCATCTCATAGTGGCTGTAGATAAGTCTGACATGCATGGTGGCCAGGCCCTTGGGCAAGTGAACCGTGTTGTTATGGTACAGATATCCCCAGGGAATGCACTGAGAGAATTGCCTGCCCCGGACGTCTCCAGAGATGATTATTGACTCGGGGAACACAGCCCACCTGAATACTTGAAGCCTGTAAGAAGCTGTGGCAACTGTGTCCTCCACTTCGATGCTTACTTCCTGTGGATAAACTGGCTCAGCAAGGCTCAGGCTTTCTACAATGACAGCGGAAGTGCTATTCAACAACGGCTTACCAACCGCTTGCACGCTGACACCAGTCGTCTCAAGTGGGTTCACCACTGCTGTGACTCCATATATGCTTTCAGAAGCATGCGCCACAGTCATGTACTCCTTTGTGTTCGGATTGAAGGTTGGCCAAACTGGTGCATGTGTGAGAAGGCCTGCCAAACGTGGACTGGACGTCATGTTGACGAATATCACCGCAAGGTTAATGGTGGCAAGCGCCAGCAGGGAACCCACAAGTGCTGGCCCAAGAAGCATTGGCAAGAGTCTGTTCTGGCGGCCTCGCACCCCACGCGCAATAAAGCCAATCCACCGCATGTCGCCGGTGTTGAGCGCATGCTCGCTATCACCAGCCGCATACTGGCCTGAAACGTCAGGACACTGCCTCGTGAATATATGAGGTTTCCCTGAACTTCGCACTTTCGCTGCTAAAAAACACAAACAATGCTATCGGCGAATTTAGCGCCCAAACCTTTTAACGTGCGCTTCTGCTTCTCAGCCACTCTCAACTTGAATCTCCTTGCGATGACGGGCCAGAGCGACAAAGGCAGACTCCTTCATTGGGGCTAGGCCCTTATCATCTCCAACCTGAACAAAGCCCTTATCAGAGATGCCCTCCAAGCAGATCTTGCATTCACGCTTCATTGCCATATTCTCCAAAGCCAGCATGTCGGCAATGGAACGCTTTATATAAAATACTGGGGCTGCAAGCAGTCCAACGGCTTTGAGATCTTCAAACCCCAAGGCCGTGCCCCGATTGAAATATGCTACCAGCATTGCTCTGCCAATGACTGACAGGACGCCCATCCATAGCCAAATAAGCATCCAGTCGCCTTCGCTAACAGAAGGGTGAATGACTCATACGTACTCATTTCCTACAGTCCTACAGAATGTACTATGTAGGCACGCTGTGTTGAA